ATTATGGATTTTATGAATCGTTGATTATGGATTCTACGATTATTAGTTATTAAACTGTTATTTTCCATAACCGAATTAGAGGATTTGCATTATCTGTCACAGGCAGGTCAAAAGTTGTTATACTAATTGTAAGTGGACACTGTTGGAATATCGCAAAGGGAAAATTCATCAAATTATTCACTAATTTAATTTTCAAAAAGGTTATATGATGATTTTGCGGAATAAATAGAGTTATTAAACTACAGTAAATATATTTACGGGTTATAAACGAATCCATAAAATATTTTTATATTTCACTTCTTCTTTCACACAACTACAATGAAATAGTATCTTAAACAATGTCATTGCCTTGATAAGGTGGATTTTAAATACTTTTTCAAACTTAAAAATATTTTTTAAAGTTCATATTACGGCAACAAATTTCATTTAATTTGTAATTGGTAATTGGTTGACTGTCGTGGATAATGAAGAGAAGAATAGTTGAGGTGCTCAGTCAAAAAGGAAGGCAAAAAATAAATTATAATATTTATTTATTACATATGCCGACGTTTATATCTATCTATTTTATTTTTCTAATAATTTTTTTTATTTTTATTTTCTCATTTTTTATTATCTTTTTTACCATCATTACTTATGTTTCTCATACCTTGTTATCTGGTTATTTTCTTAGCCCTGAAGAAGGCCTGAACTTCAGGTCGTAACGTCGGCATATGTAATAAATAAATATTATAATTTATTTTTTGCCTTCCTTTTTGACTGAGCACCCCAACTATTCTTCTCTTCATTCTTCATTTAATTTGACTTGGAAACATATGGTTTACGTTAAATATTATTAGTTTTCAAAAATTATGATTTATATTTTTTTCGCCACTCTTCGTTATCTTCAATAATTTTCTATATTAGATGTTATTTTATTTTTTTTAATTCTCCGCTTTCCAACGATATATTATACGTATACCTTCTGACAAGTATTTCCGGAGATTCATTTTCGACCTGGAAAAGCGTTTTTATTTGTCTCTCCTTTATTCAATTATAAAATTCTATCAAAAGTTATATTTAGCATTTTTTCGTAACTCTTAATAATGAGAGATAGTCAATGATTTAAATTATCACCCGACAATGATTCTCCTACCTCGATATTATTATACCATTTTTTCTTTCAAGTTGGCGGCCGAACGACTGTGCTGGTTTTGACTGTTATTGAGCGCCTAAACAAATATATCGATTTCAATGAAACTTGGCTAAAATCTTTTTCTCGATGCCCTTTAAATGTATGTCTGGAACATACTTCACCGAAAAGTACTTCCCTTTCAAGTTGGCGACTGAAAGACCTGCGTCGTATAGACTGTTGCACCTGAACGGATGTACCGATTTCAATGAAACTTGGCTAAAGACTTCTCCTCGATACCCTTTAAATACATGTATAGAATATACTTCTCCGAAAAGTACTTCCCTTTCAACATGGTGGCCGAAAGACCTATGTCGTATAGATTGTAGCTCCTGAAGGGATGTACCGATTCAATGAGACTTGGCTAAGGGCTTCTCTTTCGAAACCCTTGATGTTTATCTACATAACATACTTCAACGAAAGGAAGCTGGAAAAAGGTTACGAGGGATAGTAAGATTAGATTATCGAATAATAAAAAAAAATCGTTGAAATTGGAAAATTTGCTGCAAATACATGGTGTCTTAAATATTGTTCATATTTTCTGCTCCAAAGCTTACATCCTTTGTTATGTTTTTGATTGTTTGAAAGAGTTACATAAACTGAAGCAATGTTTTTCTTAGCAAATCACTATTGATGAAAAAAAGAATATTTAGTGCAATATTAGGAATGGCCTTTTATTTATTTTCCTTTATGTTACCCGAGAACTGATGTACCTTTAGATGAATAATTGTTTGGAAACATTGTGTAATAATTTGAAGCTTGTTTTTTTTTTAAATAATAATATTCATAAAAAATCAATTCTAATTAAAGATTCCTGACTAACAACGCAAAATTGTATACTTTGATAGAGTTGCGAATTTTATTCCTTAAAACTCGCAGCCAGTCATAACCTGAGCAATTATTAAACTTTATTCGCTAGTTGACCTTCCTTCGTGAGAGAGCTATTGGTCCTTGACCTCACAACTTCCTAGTAATATCTGCGTGCAATGGCAAGGACTGCGAACGCATGAGCCATCAGTAGAAAAAAAAACAATAACAATTGAAATAGTAACAAAGAAGGGAGGTGGAAAGTTACAAAATGAGTAGATTCGAATATTTAGAAGTTTAAGACCGAAATGTGATGTATTTATCATATTTGTAAGATTTTACTGTTGGTAGTTGGTAGTGTTGCCCAAAATCGGACTTGGTCTTGCAAAGTGCCAAGGCCGCCTAACCGTTGCAATACCAAGACCAGAACTGGTAAAAAAAATCGATGTTTTTAATAAAAAATTAAGGAAAATAGTTACTAATACTCGACAATCTTAGTTACTATATGTAAATAATTGGTATAACCAATATAGTTTTGCATTTAATTCCTCTAATTTTTCATTCAGGCTTAGTTAGGTTTCTCCTATCTACAAAATACAGTACTGTAAGACTGTTGCGAGACTCTTGTGCCATACCAACACCATGACCAAACTGAGTTTGCAAGACCAAGACTCGTCTGGATCTCGCATTTGGGCAACACTAGTAGTTGGTATGCTTCTCTAAAAGTTTAAATTAGGAATCGCATATATTTTTTAGGTATTGCCATAAAAATCTTCAAAATTATTCACTCTCCATTTATTTATTTTATAACGAAAGGTCTCTTGACACGCAGGAATAACTCTAGCGGAAAGCGGACTAGGCGAAAATATCTTCAAACAAAATGTATGACATTTATATTACATTCTTTAACTGTTTAATTCATTAAATATTTAATAGTGAACATAATTTTGTTTGTGAAATTACGTAAGGTCATTTTAAATAGAATTGGATTGAAATTTAAAAATATTACATTTATTTTTATGTCCAGAATCAACGCCATCTTTATCTTCTGAAATTACACAATTTTAGAATAAAAATATAAAAAATTTAGGTATAATGAATTTAATTTGTATTCCAATACGTCATAGTGCAATTGTTATCTTTAATCTATCGTCATGCTTGACCGTCCTAATAAGATATCTTTTTCGTTCCTATCTGAAATTGTTGGCAAAAACTCATCGATGACAAATCAGTATTTATCTCAAACCATTCTTAATTCTTTAGTGCAATCAAATTCTTTTATAAGGAATAACTTTAATAACTGATACGAAGTGCATCTGTTCGGAGCATGGAGAACAATGAGGTACAATCGTTGAACTTGAACGGACAGGCGGAGTCTAAAGTTCAAAGTAGTAGGTTTATATGAAAATACATTAATTTCATCATTTAGACAATTTATAATTATAAAAAACATCTAAAATCAGTGTAATGTTTTGAAAATTATTTAGATGAGGGCCAAAAAGGTTACGCGTGGTTCACAATCACTTCGGTCACACTTGTTAATGGAGAGCCGAATGCATCCGGGTTTATCCGAAAGACTAGTTTAGGCGTTTAATGAACAAGTATGACCATAGTGATTGTGAAACACGCTTAATCCTCGAGATCCTCAACTAAATAATTACCGTTATTACAACGTTATTATAAAATCGAATCGAGCTTAAGCGAATGAAGTTGCAGTTGAGATTATTAGAATATTTTATTATTTAATTGTATCAATAGAAGGAAAGTAGACATTGATGATTTAGTTAAAGGATATATACAAAAATAGTACCGATGTATGGTACTTTTTACAAGCAGACCATTTTTAAATATTTTTAAAAAATTGGCAATAAGAAATCCACTTTAGATATCAATCGAACAGCTAATAAAATATCTTGCACGTGTGTTGAAACTTTATTGATTTTTGTTTGTAACTCAAAAGTACAGAAGAACTTGTAACTCGCAGAAGCGAGTCCTAGACAGACCAGGGCAAACAATATTTTAGATATTATTTTAAAATACATTAATTATAAAGTATTTAAATTGTTTTCCAAAATTTGCATTTCAAATATAAAATACAAAAAGTATTTTGTATTTTAATTACAAAAAACAAATTAATTTCTGCTGGACAAACAGCCTATGTTACGGAGAACTTACTCTATACGTGTAATTTATTTTATGTGTTTAGAATAAAAAATAAAAGTGTATTGTATGTATTTTAAAAAGAAAGTAAAGTTACAAACAATCTATTTTATATTTCATTTCTTACAATGCAGAATATAAAAACGTATTTTAGAATATTTTATTTGAAATACTTCCAAGTTTGGACCTGGAATTAATTTGTGAGGGTCTTGGAGTTACTTTTATTATTTATTTATTAATTTTTAATAGCGGTACTTATTCTGGGATAAAACGAGATAAATTATATGAAATAATGTTATTTACTAGAAATCCTATAAGAAGACATAATGATGTTTTTAGAGGATAAATCTTTAACATTTTTTTCTTGCCATCTGCATACAGTAAGTAGTTAATACAATTAATGCATGCATCATAATTTAAAAATACTACATATGTTTATTATTTAAGTATTTTGGTCATATTAGTCGCAGAAATAGATATGGAACAGCTAAAAAATAATAATTATTGTTCTCTTCTCGCTATAGATCTGCCACTTGTGTAAATTGTCTTTTTTAAACATAAATTTGACTTTCTTATATACTGTTTTCTAAAAAAATATGCTGTCTATATTGTTAAATTATTCCTTATGTAACTGTAATTCACCTAATTATGTTTCTCTTATCTGTACATAATTTCTATATGAAATTCTCACTCCACCAGCTCTTTTTGGATCCTACAAACGAATAAATGAGAGACAGTTAATCAATTTTACATTTAAAATATTACACTATGGAATTCGTATAAACTCGCGTTACAACTTAAAAGTTTCTAATAATTTTTTTGAAACGAATAAGCATCCTTTTATTGGATTGAATCAATATGTTCGATTGATAGCCGTCACCGTTATCTGTTTAAACACTAGACAAGTGATAAGAACTGGAGGGAAACCCGCACTGAGATAACGCCTACAAACACTCCGGTCAGGTTCTGTTTTTGCCAATTGTCGACATTGGACTGAATTATGCCTCAGTCGTAGTGAAACTGGTTGATATTGTTCTAATTTAAGTGTATAAAGTGATCAGAAGTTTTATTGTGCTCGGAAGGAAATGAAAATTAGATTTATGAATTATGTTATCCCTCATTTTAAAGTCTAGTGTTCTATTAAGTTTATTTTCTAGTGTAAAAGCTTCCCTTGGAAACACCTTTCCAACTTACAGATACTGTGTTGAGCAATGTAGAGAAGCAATTTGTGATGAAGGTATTATTGTTTTGAATTAGAAAATTTAAAAAGATTAGGAAAGTTATACAATAATTCTGTTGATTTTAATATTGAAACTGAACGATTTTTTTAGCTGGTGTTCATTACAAAAGCTATGTTCCTGTTCCGTTATCTTCTAAGTTCCTTTGGAGCTGTAATGATAACTGCCAATACGAGTGTATGTGGGATACAGTCAGAGTATTTCAAGAAAAGGGCTGGCTTCCACCACAATTCCATGGAAAGGTATTAAAACTCTTCAAATTTCGATTGAGAAATCAAATTGCTTTTCTTATTTAATACATTCTCCTGAATTACTGATAATTTTGTAATGTAGCATCAATATTGTTAAATAGTATTTGGTAAATTGGCAATTTACTTGATATTTTATTTAATGTTACTATTAAACACATCATAATTTACAAAAGTATTGAAAAATGCATTTTTCATACCTTTTACGCTTCCTGCTGGTTTCGCTTTCATTGAATTCGGATTATGATAGCTCATTTCACTTACAAGGCCAATTGCATCTGATTAACTGGATAAAATCTGAAAGTATATGAGAAAAAACAAAAGGATAAATCACTATATAACAAAAACAGACTTTTGACAGGAAGTGTTTTAAGTTTGATAGCTTCTGTTTTTATCTACAAGTTTATATTATAAAACTACTTAAAGAAAATTTAAACACCCCTTCAGTGTAAACAATCTTTTTAGTTCTTTCTGTCTGTGATATAAGAGTATATACTGATTTTCTCTGGTAACATAAGATAACAGTTCTCTATGGTAAAATTTTAACTTGACTCCTATATTCCTAAAGGTTTATCTCTGCGCTTTATTTATATAGTGTCTTCTAATGATATTCGTGGGAAGCCGTTCTACCTTACTGGTCTGGAGTTTTACAGATTTGTTAACGTTTATAGCTACTGCTCCCTTCCCATTCATGATCTTATAAAGTCTTTAACCTTTCTCAATAATCAATCTATTTAACATTAAAAGGATTTTTCAAATCAGACTAACAGTAAATGATACAACCACATTCAAACTAACTTCATCTTTACATATTAGTATGGGTGAGTTGATTGTTTCCGTAAGAAGCTATTTAAGTCCATTTTCTGAATTAATTAGCCCAGGAAATAGCATCTATTGCTTAAAGTTGAGACCTTTCAGATCTTAAATTATTTATTTATATCAAACATGCCTTTTGATTGCTAAATTATCTTCAAGCTGTAGAATTCCTCTATTCCTAATAACTAGAAAATCTTTTGATTTATATAGATATTTCTCTTCTTTTTACTGAAAGAATTAGAAGTAAAAATGGAAAAGGGTATTGGAACCATTGATCACCATGTCTTTCCATTTACTGTGAAAGAACCAACAGTATTAATTGATCTAATATTTCTCAGAAGCAGGAAATGCCTTGAAATCTTTTAGTAAAATGTTTTTTCTTTCCTCATTAGAAAACTCTTCAGATAGATCAGGGGTTCTTAAACTTATGTCCCGAGATCCAACTGTTGAACAAACATATTTTGGAAGATGATATCCTGACACTGGGCATTGTATGTTGTAATCATAACAATTTGTTTTGTTATTAACTAGTTAAGGGACAACAAATACCAAAAGTTCTTGACCATGTATGACTTTTATTTAATGAGTTATTTGACTTAAAGTGAAAAGTTGGAAGATGTGTTGTCAAAACTATTTTGTGAAATCCAAGGACTACAATTTAAGAGTCTGTGATTAAAAAAATCTGATGCCATTTGGAACATCATTACCTGTTCATTAAAATTAAATACCCCAAACGGAGAACCTAAGAAAATACTTCTTCACCATACAATCTTGGCCAACCATGTGAAATAGGTGTTTTTAAGCTAAGTCATATAGTCTTGGCCAGGATATATATCTCCATTGTCCATATTGTGGTGTTCCGGAGATTATGGAGCAAGTGATCATGACTTACATACACTGCCTTACAGGGGGTAAGAGCATCGGTGGTATTATTGGCCAAATTATGTCCTCACTGATCAGAAAATTCTTCGGTGATAAGCGAGATTCGGTTCAAAAAGTTTATTTATGCCTCACAGACGGTGGTGGGCTTAGTATTTTACAATCTCAGAGCAAGAATGGAGATCATCAAAAGGAGATTTAAGGTGGTTGTGATGAGAAAGCTATATGCACCACACTTCATGTTATATTTATAACATTTTACTTGCAGTGGTGTGCTTCCAAGACTGCAAAGCATCGCACTACTTAAAAAGTTAAATATTTAAGTATGAAAATTATTGTAATTAATGTTCATATCTTCATTAAAACTATATAAAGAAATCACGATAAAGTGATATTTTGTAATAAGATTATTTAACCTGTAATAATTTTAACTTTAACCAATTCTATATTTTGATAAATTTGAATAATAATTACTTACTAGATGGCCCATGCAAATAATTTGCTTAGTTTATTGGTCAGTGACCAATTGGTTGTATAATATTAAAATAAGTAAAGCAATAAATTTTGGTGGCAGGAATTTTTTTTTTTTGGATCAGTTACAATCGTTCATTATCAAAAATATTAAACCAAACCATATTTATAAACTTCATAATAACAATATGACAAACATAATAATCATAACACCATATTGTACATAATAATCATAAATTGTATACTTTCTAATTTAGACACAAATAAAGTTTTCTGTTCTTCATTACTTTTATTGCTGTTTTTCTGGGGTATTTGCTAATTTGTCATCACTGTCAGAGGATCTAATTTTCAAATTGATAACTGATGACTGGTTATATATGGTGTACTGATTGAGAAATAATATGCATGGATATTTTGCTAATATTATTCAATTTTTTTTCATCTGGTCAGTTGTAATCATTAATGATTGAATTTCTTCAATATCTTTTTCTAAGGAAAGAACAGTTGAACATTATGGTTTCAAAATTTAAACAATTAGATCATGCAATGATTGCTTTAAAAAAATATTCCTATTTTGCTCTAATTGTCTATATCTTATCATTATTTGAGTTAATATTGTTTACTATTATTTAATTACACCAGTGCCTTTTTTTAAGAATTTGTCCATATTTGTTCTAGAACACTATTATTATGAAACTGCATAATATTTGGAACCGAGGGACAAGATTCCACATATAACCACAACTTTGCTTTATTCAGTAGATCCATTGTTATTATTTTCTGTTTTTCTTTGGTTATGCAATTTTTTCCTTTTCCTAATTAGTTCAGTATGAAAAGTGTGAGCTATAAATTATAATTAATTATAAATATCTTCATGTTTTATTTTTGTTTACTTACAATTCAGCAATTGTATCAATCTTTCTCCGCAGTAGTTGTAATAGTGTTACTGGCTAAATCCAATTTTTTTTTTTATTTACATGAGCGAACACTGCAGTTTGTAATTGTTTTGTATTCATTCCTTCTTCATGGCCTACTTTCACTTGCAAGGTTGTTTTATGTTTCTTCTGCCAGAAAATTATGTATTCTTCAGTAAAACCTGAAAATTTGCCCAATTTCAGAGAATTTTTCTGGATCACTTGGCTTTAACAATTTTATCACATACTTACTTACTGATGAGCTCTACAAGCTGAGATGGATCTTGGCCTCCTTCACGATCTTCTTCTAATCCTTTCTGTCCTTCATTCTTCCCCTCCAATTTACCTATCACATCCTCTTTCACATCACTTTTCCAACATTTCCTCGGCTGTCCTATTTTCCTTTTTCCAGAAAATTCCTCCCTAATTATCTTTTTCGTTGCTACGCCATGAGGCAGTCTTAATAAAGCATACAATATCCTCGTGCTTCAACAATTTTATCACATATTGAGATAAATTCCTTTTTAAGAGTAACTACTTAATGACATTGGTTTCAACAACATTGCAACTGCATGAGTAAAATCTGAAGTTAATGGTAAGTGTGAATGAGAAAAGATTGGTTTGTTTAAAGCAGTTTATGAATCTTATTTTTTATATTTTCAAACTGTTTATCTTCACGAAATAATTAAAATATACCATTGAGATGTTTCATAGCAAAGCTTTGTTGAGATTAAGTTTAAAAGGTTGAGGTTTGCTAATCATAATAGAAAAGTTTAAAATAAATATATATATCTTAATATCTTATAAATATTGCTATTAATTACATTTTTTTCTTTAAATAAAAATATATATATTTTATTTTTTATATAAATTAGGCCATTATTCACTAACATTTTATTTATTAATTATTTTATTACATTTCGACCATCACTAGGGCCATTTTCAAGTGTTATGGAGTCCTTCATTAAATTTCCATTATTCATTGTCGTATTAATTTTTCTGAGAAAATTAAACTCCTGATATTTTAGAGTTTCTCTCTGATATTTAGAGACTGATTAATCTCTCCAGAAATGATGTACGGGAAACTCTGAAATATCAGGACAATTTAATTGTCTCAGAAAAATTAATACGACAATGAATTATGGAAATTTAATGAAGTACTCAATAAGACTTGAATATGGCCCTAGTGATGGTTGAAATTTTGTCGTAATAAAATAATTAATAAATAAAATGTTGGTGAATAATGGCCTAATTTATATAAAAAGTAAAACCTCAAGACACCAATTCTAGGAATAATGAACGGAAGAAAAAAATATTTTTTCAGTGGCCATTTATACGGTTTCTTGGAGTTCAAGAACCCGCATCGACTGCATTCTCACTCTTGAACCTCGGTATACACCTAAAAATGTTCAAACAGTTTCTACGTGAAGTGAGAAGAACAAATCCAATGTTTAAAATATGGATTATATATGCAATGGTGAGTATTTTCTACTTATTAATGTTCTACGTTAATCATGATTAGTGTTTTAATTTTTTTTTATCAGTAGTTTGTTGCTTGATGTACTTTGTAGATTAACTTTTCCAGTGTTCAATAAATGGTTGGGTGTGGTCTTCCATTTTTCATACAAGAGATTTGCCTTTTACTGAACTAATGGATTATTTGTCTGCTTTTGGAATGGTACTTTGCACAGCTTATTCCATTGGGATGAGGTTTGTTGTATTAGATCTTATGTGAAAACCCATATTTTATTAACAATTTCATTTTCATTGTGTGTGATTATATAATTCATTTTTAATTGCTAAAAGTTTTTTATATAAATATGTTTTTGCAAAAAAAAATTGAAGTTTTACACTTCGACCTCAAGATCAAATAATTTTTTTTTTTAGAAGTTATTACAGTGGAACAACAATGAACCAATATAATCATAATTTGAACATTTTATAAACAATTTCCCTACGAATTTCAGGCGTTTTAATTGGTGTATGAAATTCAAAATGCCGTAACTTCGCTAATACTTATCTGGTCGGATTTGAAAGATTTTTTAATTCTTATACGGGATTTTATTACCTTTCAAAAGATTATATATAACATTTCTAATAAAATGCATATTTTTTGAGTTATACAAAAAAATATTTTCTTTTCTTCATAGGTTTTTTATAATTTTTCTCAGGAATGAACTACATTTATGAAAATTAAAAGGGCTTAAAGTAGAATCCTTGTAGGCAAATCTTGTAAAAATCATTAGAGCCTTTTTGGTACCATGTTTTATACGGGAAGGAGTGGCCAAGTCGACTAACGTGTGCCCAGTAACCTGTTCAATATAAGATAATTGGATACAAATAATGAGTTTGTGTCCTGGTGCTGGGGTAGGGGGGCGTACTTTCTCCTTTTTTTGACATTGATCTCCCTCACCCCCTGGTCCTGGAAAACCGCGTATAACCTAAAAGGCAGGGATGGGGAGAACAAAAATAAAATTTCCAGAAGACAAAAATAAGATTTGTTTCACAGGCTTTGGTGGCCCAAATCCTACAAAGTGAAAAAAAGGAACAACCAAATCGATCCACCCATTTCAACATTCATGTGTACAGACAGATCAATGGCTGAAAATGCATTTTTTAGGGGTCTCTGGAGCGTAAATATCTGATTCAATAATTTCTTTACCTAATGGTAGGAAAGTAAAAAAAAGGCATTGTATGTTTTATTTTTTTGTTGCATATAACAACAACAATTATGGAATTAATATGCATTTTGCTTTGAAAGTGTCATTGTTAGATGTGAAATTTTATTTAACATAAAAAAAAAAAAAATGTTTCTACTAATACATTCATACACATCATCACCATCATTTTAAGTAATGATTGCCATTTTTGGAATTACTTTTATAAAACAGTTTACTGGTGCAAATAAATTGTTTTATAGCCAAAAAAAAACTTACGAATTTATCACAAGTGTTTTTGTAAAATAGAATGTTACAAGTAAAATGTGGTGTGAGTTTTCACATTGGTTACTTAAATTTGGTGGTGATGATTAAAGGTATTAAGAATTCGTGTGAAAAATATTTAAGTTCTGAGAAAAATCAGTGAGTTGCTAAATTTCGCAGTTAGATACTTGTATTTATTAACTGAGCAATACATTTGTGAAAAAAAGTATGTATTATATGTATCGATGGAGAAGTGAACATAAATTCGCAATTAACTATTTAAGATTTTACAGTTAGAATATGAATGTACAATAATTGTACTATTTCCAAATCTTGTTTTTGAATAGTACGCATGTTCGAACTTTTTTCCTTAGTGGTTGGAACCAAATTTTGTTAATTGATGGTACAGGTAGTTAGTAGTAACAAAAAGCGGAATTTTAATTTACTTTAGCATGTTTGAAATGTATATGATACATGTTGAATATATAAATTATATTTATTAAATAAATAAAATCAGATGTTAAGTATTTTCTTTAAAATTAAATAATTTGTACTGCTTTAGTTTTATCAATAACTATTCTACTTGTTTTTGTTCAACCAGCTATTTATCTGTTTGCATATAAATTTATTTAAGTTTGTCTGTAAATGCTATATTACTAAAGAAATTCTAGATTTTTAAGTTTTTTTTTCTATTTTGGCAAAAAAATAATTTTTTAATTTATTTTTTCCAGGTTGCTTCTTAAGTTTCATCAAGTATACTCACTACTATTCACCGCTGTAACTGTTGCTTACTTTGTTAACCATGCGACATACTTATCATGGGGGCTTTTCGATTACAAATATAATATGATTGCTAATCTTGTTGCAGGTTAAATACTTTGTAATTTAAAATTATCTTTAGCTTTCAATTTGATTTTTTTATTTTTTTTTATTGTACATACTGCATTATTTTCTATATTGTTCTACTTAGTGGATTGGAAAAATAAATTACTGAAGTGATATTAATAAAATATCATTCACTCATATTTACTAAATTTTTTTTTTTAATGGTACTTTTTACAGGAGTAATTTTATTCGTCAACTGTGTTATATTTTCATTGGTCTACTGGAGGAGCCTACCGCAAAGCAAAAGCCTGCTGATCGCAATAGGCATACTTGCTATTTCCCTATATTTAGAATTATCTGACTTCTCACCCATATGGTGGACGTTTGATGCACATGCTCTATGGCACCTGACTACTGCCCCAGTTACATACTACTACTGGAAGTAAGTATTGGCTTAAGTTATTTTTATCTAATAAAGAACACCGATTTATGATCACTTGATAGGAAAATATAAAAACAAGATGCATCCACACTATCTCAATTTTTATCCTGATGAATTGTCATCTCAAATTACTCCTTGTAAGCCTAATTAGAAGTTATTTAAGACTTAAAAGTGTCAAAATCTGTCTAACGTATAATATAATCTCACACACTGAAGGTGATTAAGTAAAGGCAAAATGGCAGATGAAATTCTGTCAAATTGGCTGACTCAGGAAACTAACAATCAAAAGAGGGGATAGCTAAACTTAAAGAGGGGACCACAAATAGAAAAGGTTGGTAACATCTATTTTCTAATGGATCTGTCCATCTTAAGATTACTAAGATAAAGCTAGAAGGTAGGATAGAGTTTGAGGATTTGAAGGTTATTCAAGCATTATAAATTTATTGTTATAGTAAATCTTTGATACATTTCAGAAAAATTATTCCAAACTAAGATTTTCTTAAAAGACGTTTATCATATACAGAATTTATTCGTAACACTCGATGACAAAGCTATTTAAATGAAGTGTCTATAATATATTTAGGATTTCTAGGAATGGAGAGAGAACTACTATAATCAGCTCCGGAAGTGATTTTGTGGAAACCATCGGATTCCTTATTTTATTTTTTACGTACCTTTAAATTATTAAAGGTTCATTATTGATTAAAAAAGTTTTAATGTTAAAAAGCTGATTTACTTTTTATTAAATTTGAAGTCTGTAATGTGTAAGGATGGAATGAAGTGTTTCGTTCCAAGTGTTTGTAGAAACGAGGAAGGAACCAAACAAACCGTCCCATTCCAAATGTTAGTCAGAATTACGAGGCTGGTTTTAAGTATTAGTCCATACAAAGATGGAATGGAACAAAAACTGGAACGAATTTCAGTGTTGTAAATGAACGAAACTCACATTACACTCAGAGCGGCTCATCCTTAATCGTTACTGAGAGGTAATTTAGTCTTCTGGTTGATAAGAGATTGGTATGGAGGGTATCCATCACATTTATATTATGTTATTATCAGACAATTAGTTTAAAAGATCTTCAAAGATTAGAATTATTTACTTGAATATTTAGCCATTATGTATTGAAAAAATTGTTCATTTTATTCTTCAAAATGTATTAATTATTTTTAATATTTTATAGGTTTATTTTGGAAGATTCTAAACACTTGCAGAAAGAAATACCAAGATGGTGATATTTACTAAATTTGGATGTTTACTGTCACTTATGTGTTCGTTGACAATTTTATAATTTTATTGAGATTATTATTGACTGTTATATTAAGTTAGTTGGTTTGTAATGTCATCAGTTATTGAACTGATTTACTAGATTTTTTAGTGATTTTTAAATTGGTCTTCAACATTGAAAATGCCAAATTTTATTAATTGTATGTCGAGATTCAATCTTATCGACTTTTGATAATATATCTTTGTCTATGTACCAAATTGCATACTTAGTAATAGATGGATATATTATTGGCTTATGCATTAAAATTTAAAAGATTGATTAAATATCCATCATTCAATATGCCAAACTTTTCAATAAGTAATTATATGCACTTAAAACATATTAAGTTCATATTTAATATTAATGTGAACGAGTAAAAAAATAACCATGTTACAGAAATTTGATGTATTATGATATTAATAAGGTTTTTGTTTTTGTTTTTTTGGTAGTAGTGAATTATTAAATCAAATTCATAAATATTTAATGAATTTTAAAATCAACAAGTTAAACTAGGAATAATTAAAAACTAGCTTTTTCTGTTATTCTGAAATCCTTTTTTTTTTTGTTTTATGGAGTCCATAAAATTATGTCAAAGCATAAATCTGTTGCTCTTGAATATAGCTTTTTAATGAACATTTCATGTAATAACAACAAAATATACTGATTTTTTTTTTCTTTATTTATCATCATGGTTGATAAATGAAATTGAATTTATTTTCTGGTGTTATTTTATTTAAGAAAAATATTCCATTTCCATTATTATTTATACCTATGATGAAACACTAACTTTGCCGTAGCTTTTAAAAATATTTATAAAGAATTGCCACTTTTAAAATAATGTGTTATGTTTCAGAAAATATTTGTATGTGTTTAGAGTTACTAGAAGAATGTTTATTGTTTATTTGTTAGTGTTAAATAAGAAAAAATTATGATTGTAAACGGTCTTTTAAGTTAATATTTTAAGAATTTAGTTAATATTGTAAAATTTATTCTAAACATTTTAAATTTTAGCGAGGAAGATATTTCATTGTAATTGCTGCATTTGAAAATATTTATTTTTTAAATATATTACCTATATTTTAAAATTATGGTTAAATTTTTGTAATTGACTTGAATTTATATAAAGACTGACATTGGTTGTTACAAAGCAGTTTTTACTGCATATTAAGCTTTAGTATACTTTAAATGTTTTTTTATGATTTATTTTATTAAAATTCTATTCAAAATAATAAATTTTATTCATAATTGTCCCTATGCCTTTCAAAATGAAATATATATTAATATTAGAAAATATATCTTATTTATATAATTAATGGAATGGAATCACTACTGTTGTAATTTTATGAATTATTGAAGGAAGTTAGTTGACTGTTCTACATATCATGGGCGATAAATATTCAGGACGCAGTCATTATAAGGTTTTTATTAGTGCCGACGTTTCAATCCAAACATGTGGGTCATCATCAGGGTGTGTTTCGGGCATTGAATGGATTCAGGTATGGTACTTGGTGTATTGGTATAGTAATGGAATACCTTCAGTGCTTGAAACACGCACAGCACTAATAAAAACTTTATAAATGACTGCGTCCTGACTATTTATCACCTATGTTGTAATTTTAATGTAAAGTTGTGCTACATACTAAACTGCTGAACCAGTGGGTAATTATTTGAAGGTAAATAAGACAGATTATAGATTATAGACTACATATAAAGGATGTAGGTAGCTATTGATGGTGATTCCCGTATTAAATATATGAGTTTGTTAAGCTTTTTATTATTATTACTAACTAAAACTTACACAACACAATCTTCTGTAAATAGGTATCAATCGTTCAGTGTATAAGATAAGAATAATGAAAAGAAATGGCTAATCAAACTAGAAGGTTTGATACTGATACCATTACTTGCTGTCTATATACTTCTATCCACCGACTGCCATCCAAACTCTATTATCCAAGATCAGCCATAAAGCAATGATCTCATCTTATTCTTTGATTCAACTAGTTGGGATTAATGTAAATATTTTATAACTTATCAGGAGTAAAATTTCTCAATAGATATTACAACCCGTTCATGGTCTTAGTTTTAGTGAATTGGAATAACATCTTTATAACCAAAAAAAAGAAGAATATTATACACCTCAGGTTCTCAGCATGACTTGATTATTTCACTAGGAATATTATTGGTTCATTTTAGTTTCTGAGGGCTATTGACTTGTAATTGGTCAACAAAGTATTATTATATAAATGAAAAATTAAGTATACTAAGACTCGCGGCAATAGAACAGACTCTTGCAATGTGTAACCAAATAAGTAGATTAGTAATAAAACTTGTTTTTTTTTTCATTCCTCTAGCCAATTAATGTATTCTTTAAACCCATACTAACTTCCCACAAAAAATAAGATATTTGACAAGATTTTTCATTTATCAGCTAACATGTTTACAACTCATTGCAATTGCTTTGGATTCACTAAAACTCATTCATTGGCGAAACTGTTAATTGATAGGTTGTCATTGTTGACAAGCAGTAAATCTATTTTTCAGGTCGAAACGTCGGCAAATGTTAAAATAAATATCATTATTTATTTTTGCCTTTTTATTTCTGACTGATCGCCCCAACCATCCTTCTCTTCATTATTCACGACAGTCAACCATCAACCCACAATTACAAGTCTATTTTTGATGATTCAGCAGTCTTGCTACCTATTATAAACCCAATTAATTTCATAGGTTTCGAGTTCAGGCATCTGACAAGTGATTTTTTTTTTTCATCCAATAACTGGTTTTCACAAAAGTAATGATAAACTTCATCTTCAAGTAACTTAAACTTATTTAAATAAAAAATATTGGAACACACGTCAATGTATCAAAACAGTAATACATTTTGAAGTAAAGGAAGGAACCATTGATTCAATATTGGTTTTAATAAATCTCTTTACTTCTTCATAGTTAAAGAGAATAAGGAATGGAAAGCTGATCAATTCCAAAAATAATGAAGTAAAATAAAAGCTCTTCGATAGGTAAAAATTACCTGTAGGGTTGACCAAAACAACTAATTTGTGGTAGTAACAACAATAGGTTTTTGCTACATTCATAAAATAGATAAATGCTCTTCATATCACTGATATGTAAGGTGATGCTTTGCGTTTGTTTCTATAAACCAGTTGTGTATTAAAATAAGTCACATGCACCATAGAGAATAGAGATCTGGTATTGGTTAGGGGTTTAAGAGATCTGTGTTTGTGTAACTAAAAAGGTTATTTGTTACATGGCTTTGAATTTTAGAGGAGTCAATATTTTTGTGGTGTTTTAATTTGGAGGAACTTTTGAAGCAGGTAACAAGTGAAAACATGGAATATTCCATGTGCAAGTGTAAATGTAATAAACTATAATTTTAATAATTCTACTTTAACTAGCACCATTTTTAATAAGAGAAATCAATAAAGGAAGAAGGTCATGATCCATCATGTGGAGCCTCCTATAGAGATAATAATAATGCCCTCACATCTCTGTATTGTATCTCTTTAATCTTGACTGAAACGGTTAACTGTTTTGGTTTGATATGTATATATATTTCAAATTGCCATAACGACATATTTAATACTGTAATTACAGTTGTTTTTTTTGTTTTTTGGCACAAGACTCCCACAGAAGTCCTCTACTGCAATTACAGTATTCATGAGTTTTGGAAATGATCTGTAGAAAAGTGAATAATTATTTAAATGGAAGGATGGAGTGACTGTCCATAAGGTTGTGGAAATCTTTACTCTGACTCCAATCACTCCATTCCACCCTTCCATTTGGAGTGATCGTCAATGTTCTCTTTAATGCACACTACCACACTTCATTTCGTATTCGTATGTAATTTGTAGTAGAATTTTAACTGACTCAGTTGAATATTAACGACATTATATATCCCTAACGACATATTTAATACTGTAATTACAGTTGTTTTTTTTTGTTTTTTTTTTGGCACAAGACTCCCACAGAAGTCCTCTACTGCAATTACAGTATTCATGAGTTTTGGAAATGATCTGTAGAAAAGTGAATAATTACTTAAATGGAAGGATGGAGTGACTGTCCATAAGGTTGTGGAAATCTTTACTCTGACTCCAGTCACTCCATTCCATCCTTCCATTTGGAGTGATCGTCAATGTTCTCTTTAATGCACACTACCACACTTCATTTCGTATTCGTATGTAATTTGTAGTAGAATTTTAACTGACTCAGTTAAATATTAAGTCTTAAACTGCATCACGCTAGGCCAAATCCAATCATTCCAACCGATCGCGAGAGTTGAAAACTGATGGCTAGTTGGGCTTCACTGTAATGTATAAAAAGGTTACAAGGAATGGTAATTTATACTAAATGGCTATTTTTATTTATAAAATACTTTTATTTCGAACTTCTATTAGGTAATAAGGTGAAAGTATACTATAAGTGGAAGTGTAATTGTTATACGTTAAGTGTCCTATGTATGTATTATATATTTCATTAAATTCATTGACTTATCTATTTTAAGAATAATAAAAACCATAAAGTTTGAAAATACAACGTCCTAATTCACGGGCATAATAATCTAGCAATTTATCGCCCTAAAACCCCCACCCTACTACCTTCACGCCGCCTTACCAAAGTACTTCTTTCCAACCAAGTACATCCCCTTCATGTAACGGTTTTGATTTTAAATCAAATTTTTACCGTTATTTTACATTACAATTAAAGCTAGATTTAAAAAATAGAAATATTTACCTTTTTCATTTGTATTCTATCTTTCAAGCTGCAGTATCGTAGATGACAACAACTGCCAGCAGCATCTGATCTAACTTTAGCAATTCATTAAGAACATCATTAATTATATAATGAAAATAAATTAAAAATGAAAGGGTTCTTTAGTTTATCATTTTTAATTATAATATTGTTTTGATCTTAGATAATTACTTACGAAATTAATGCCAGCTATTATATTTTTTTTGTATTGAATAATTACAAAATTAATAGAATTGCAAAAGTATTGTAACATAATATGGAAATTATATATTAATAAATATTTTTGTCTATTCATTATTTATTTAAAATAAGCATATTGAAAAATTAATTCCCTATTCAAAGTTCAGTACTCGAAGGTTGGTACTTAATTTCTACCTTTTTCTAGAAATCAGGTATGAGAATAATCATTCTAAGTGCGAGAATAATCAGAAACTTAATTTAAATTAATATATATAATTCTAAAATGTTAACTTATTTTTAATAACTGATATATTTTTAAGCATTTTCTTAAGTTAGAATAATTAATTAAATTGTGGTAACATTATTTTTGAACTTTGGAGCCAATTCGAATTTGCAAGCCACCATTTTTTTTTATATCTAGCTTATTCCACTGCTCTGCTCCTAATTATAGTTCCAAGTATAATGTTAATGATGTTAGTTTCCTATTTTTACTATATATATTTAAGATATATCCAACCTCAGTTGTAAGAAAGTTTTGCTATAATAGAACTATTTGCTAAAATATTCGATTTTGTGGTAATACTATCACTTAAATTTTTTATTGGTGAAATAGAGTCCACTATTGTGATTTAATAATGTATAATAATATAATAGATGATCATTTTATTATT